CAAATTTTTTGTATATTTGGTAGAGACGGGGTTTCACCGTGTTAGCCAGGAAGGTCTCCATCTCCTGACCTCATAATCCACCCACCTCGGCCTCCCAAAGTGCTGGGATTACAGGCGTGAGCCACCGCAGCCAGCTTTTTGTTTTGTTTTGTTTTGTTTTGAGACACAGTTATGCTCTTGTTGCCCAGGCTGGAGTGCAATGGTGCGATCTTGGCTCACTGCAACTGGGTTCAAGCAATTCTTCTGCCTCGACCTTCCAAATAGCTGAGATAATAAGTGCCTGCCACCACGCCCGGCTAATTTTTGTATTTTTAGTAGAGATGGGGTTTCACCATGTTGGCCAGGCTGCTCTTGAACTCCTGGCCTCAGGTGATCCGCCTGCCTTAGCCTCCCAAAGTTCTGGGATTACAGTCATGAGCCACTGGGCCTGGCCTGCATTCTAAAAGGACCACCTTGGTGCCTTGGATGAATGTACAGAGGAGGGGATGGGCGTGAGGAGTGCGGGGCACTTGGGGCCCTACAGTCCTGCCTGGGACCCAGCCCCAGCCTCCGAGGCTGTCTGGATAAAGTAGTGTGGTGCCCTCGTGCCTGGGAGGGGAGCTGGAGAGGACTGCGTGGGCCCAAGGCTGGTGTCCCTCTGCTCAGCTTCCACAGGGAAGCCCATGGCACAGTGGCCTGGAGCCTGGCTTTGGGCTCGGCTGCCTAGGCATGGATCCCAGCATCATCAGCTTTGAGCTGTGTGATCTCGGGCAAGTCAATTCATCTCTTTGACCCAATTCTATGAACATTTCTTGAGTGCTTTCTACAAGTTCTCAAAAGATTGGAAAATTTTTCAGGAAGTAAAACAGATTTTCCTCACTAGCAACAGAACTCAGGACCCAGTTCTACAGGTGGTCAGGTGCTTTTGTACACACCTCTAAGTCCAGAAACTATCTACAGAGTCAACAGGTTGTCATAAAATATTGTCATATCTAAGATGACAATTCAGTATCACAAATTTGAACTTGAAGGAAACTTAGACCTCCCCTAGCCCAGTGGTTTTAAAAATACTTTATTTCAAGGCCAGGCACAGTGGCTTACGCCTGTAATCCCAGTACTTTGGGAAGCAGGAGGATTACCTGGGGTCAGGAGTTCGAGACCAGCCTGGTCAACATGGCAAAACCACGTCTCTACTAAAATACAAAGACTAGCCAGGCGTGGTGGCTCGTGCCTGTGATCCTAGCTACTTGGGAGGCTAAGGTGGGAGAATCACTTGAACATGAGAGGCAGAGGTTGCAGTGAGCCAAGATCATGCCACTGTACTCCAGCCTGGGTGACAGAGCAAGATTCCATCTTGGAAAAAAAAAAAAGACACAAAGGATAGAGTGAGAAGGAACGATATAAATATAGCCAGAGTTCCTGAAGGAGATGATGGAAGAGAAGCAACATTCAGAGAGATAAGTCAGAATATTTTCCAAAATGGAAAGACAACAAAGCTCAGGTTCAAGAAGCTAAACAATTCCCAAACAGGATAAATAAAAAGAGGCTGGGCGCAGTGGCTCACACCTGTAATCCCAGCACTTTGGGAGGCCAAGGTGGGTGGATCACTTGAGCCCAGGAGTTGGAGACCAACCTGGGCAACATGCTGAAACCCCATCTCTACAAAAGACACAAAAATTAGCCTGGAGTGGTGCCTGTAGGCCCAGCTACTCAGGAGGCTGAGGTGGGAGGATCACCTGAGCCCAGGGAGTTCGAGACTGCAGTGAGCCATGATGGCGCCACTGCACCCCAGCCAGCCTGGATGACAGAGAGTCATTCTAACAGAACATGGTTCAATCACTTCTATACCTTCACCACCTAGAACAGTGTTGGCACCCATGGCACCCAGTTAATGCTTTATCAAAGTTGTAGAATGAATGAATACTTCAGAACACCAAAGACAAAAATTAAGCTCCCAAAAGCAGCCAGACAGAAAAGATATTGTCTCAAAAAGATTGACAATTACTGGCAGCCGATGTCTAAACAGCCAAATAGAAGTCAGAAGACAGTGGAATGATATATTCAAAGTGGTGAGAAAAATAACTGTCAACCTAAAATTATGCACCAGTGAGTTACATTTCAGGGGTGAGGGTAAAATAAAGATACTGAGAAAAATGACAGTTGAGTTTATCACCCATAGATCTTTGATATAGAGACATCTGAAGAATCTTTTGATGGCACATGGAATTTTTTTCAGAAGGAAGATCTGAGCTGCACAAAGGAAATAGTAAACATGGTTTAGTCTCCCAGACAATAATGTGTAATTCAGGACGATCTGACCAGAAACAGAGTGTGCTGAAGCCCTTTGTTTTGACCTAGAAGGAGATTAAATACTGGCAACTTTAGATTTTGTTAAATATACATTTTTAAATATCTTGAAGCCGGGCGCGGTGGCTCATGCCTGTAATCCCAGCACTTTGGGAGACTGAGGTGGACAGATCACCTGAGGTCAGGAGTTCCAGACCAGCCTGAGCAACTTGGTAAGCCCGATATCTACTAAAAGTGTAAAAATTAGCCGGGCATGGTGGCAGGCACCTGTAATCCCAGCTACTAGGGAGATTGAGGCATGAAAATTGCTTGAACCCAGGAGGTGGAAGTTGCGGTGAGACAAGATTGCACCACTGCACTCCAGCCTGGGGGATAGAGCAAGACTCTGTCTCTAAATGTGTGTGTGTGTGTGTGTGTGTGTGTGTGTGTATAGG